TACTACTACTACACACACACACACACACACACACACACACACACACACACACACACACACACACACACACACACACACACACTTCCCCGCTTGGGTATGCACTCCACCACTCTTGCTTTCCCGTGAGCAGGCTGGAGCGGTTGCAGTCGTTTGATTGCGAGGCCATCTTGGACATCAAGTGGTCACAGGTGACGACACCCGAACACCCAGAGCCGCTGCTGGCAGCTGCCACTGCGCCCGGGAATGTTGTGCTGTACCGCCTGCGCTGCAACCCCACCGATGGCGATGGTGACGGAGATAGCGCAGGGTATGCGCTGGAGGAGATGACGAGCACCGTCGTCGCTGATGGGCAGCTTGCGCTGTCGCTGGAGTGGTCGGATCGACGCCAACAGCCGGGATGCGGCGCATCTGAGAGGTGCGATGCCTTGATTAAGGCCAGCTTTGTTTGCCACAACTTGTGTGTCGTGTTTGTGTGTGTGTGTGTGTGTGTGTGTGTGTGTGTGTGTGTGTGTGTGTGTGTGTGTGTGAACACTTCGATCACCCAACTCAAATGCATCTGTGCACGTGACATGCCTGCTATCTTGCCAGGCGCGTGGTGGTGAGCGACCAGAACGGCGACATTTCCGAACTCCAGCTCCTACCGTCGGGCGAGTGAGTGCACGCATGCTATTGTTGTGTCTGTGTGTGTGCGTGTGTCTGTGTGTGTGCGTGATGTTGACGCGCGATGGTGTTTTGTGGTTGCACGTGTGTATGTACCTCTCCTCTGCTGTTGCACGCTCACGTTTCCCTTCATAACCCCAACACCACGATGCCCGCCCCTCTCGTTTTCCTGCTGTGCAGACTTGTGCGCAAGAGCAAATGGCACGCACACGAGTTTCCTGCGTGGATCACAGCTTACAACTGCTGGGACACCAACATCGTCTTCTCAGGTCTCGTGATTGTGTGTGATTGTGTGTGGGGGGGATTGGTGTGTGAGCGGTGTGACTGTCGGCCTTCTGGCTGCCGCAACCTCTCATTGTATCCACCCATTGCTGTCCCTGCTCGCTCGTACACAGGCGGTGATGACTGCAAGTTTCGCGTCTGGGACACACGCACAGATTGCTCCTTCTCCGTCGCAGCAACAAAGAGGTGACGGAAGTTATGGGGCTGTGATGTTGTGTGATGGGATGTTGCTAAAATCCAACACTCCCTCCCTCCCTCCCTCACACACTCACCCACGTTGTCGCCCTCGTGTTGGTTTGCTTGCAGGCACGAAATGGGCGTGTGCAGCGTGCAGTGCTCGCATCTGCGTGAACATCTCCTGGCCACGGGCAGCTATGACGAGCACGTGCGTTTGTGGGATACGCGGTCCTTCAAGACGCCACTGGCAGAGGTGCGTCGTTTCGCACAACACAACCAACCCCTTTCCATCTCTCTCCGTGTTCTTATTTGTCTTGTCTGCTTGATGCTGTCACGCATACCACCCCCATTTTCCCTCCCGTCGTCCGTCACGCCTCTGGGGGCCCTTCCCTTCAGGTGCACACTGGCGGCGGGCTGTGGCGGCTCAAGTGGCACCCGTCCAACCCACGCCTCCTCCTCTGCGCAGGTGAGCACATCATCGTGGTCGTGGTGGCGCAGGGTATGCGCTGGAGGAGATGACGAGCACCGTCGTCGCTGATGGGCAGCTTGCGCTGTCGCTGGAGTGGTCGGATCGACGCCAACAGCCGGGATGCGGCGCATCTGAGAGGTGCGATGCCTTGATTAAGGCCAGCTTTGTTTGCCACAACTTGTGTGTCGTGTTTGTGTGTGTGTGTGTGTGTGTGTGTGTGTGTGTGTGTGTGTGTGTGTGTGTGTGTGTGAACACTTCGATCACCCAACTCAAATGCATCTGTGCACGTGACATGCCTGCTATCTTGCCAGGCGCGTGGTGGTGAGCGACCAGAACGGCGACATTTCCGAACTCCAGCTCCTACCGTCGGGCGAGTGAGTGCACGCATGCTATTGTTGTGTCTGTGTGTGTGCGTGTGTCTGTGTGTGTGCGTGATGTTGACGCGCGATGGTGTTTTGTGGTTGCACGTGTGTATGTACCTCTCCTCTGCTGTTGCACGCTCACGTTTCCCTTCATAACCCCAACACCACGATGCCCGCCCCTCTCGTTTTCCTGCTGTGCAGACTTGTGCGCAAGAGCAAATGGCACGCACACGAGTTTCCTGCGTGGATCACAGCTTACAACTGCTGGGACACCAACATCGTCTTCTCAGGTCTCGTGATTGTGTGTGATTGTGTGTGGGGGGGATTGGTGTGTGAGCGGTGTGACTGTCGGCCTTCTGGCTGCCGCAACCTCTCATTGTATCCACCCATTGCTGTCCCTGCTCGCTCGTACACAGGCGGTGATGACTGCAAGTTTCGCGTCTGGGACACACGCACAGATTGCTCCTTCTCCGTCGCAGCAACAAAGAGGTGACGGAAGTTATGGGGCTGTGATGTTGTGTGATGGGATGTTGCTAAAATCCAACACTCCCTCCCTCCCTCCCTCACACACTCACCCACGTTGTCGCCCTCGTGTTGGTTTGCTTGCAGGCACGAAATGGGCGTGTGCAGCGTGCAGTGCTCGCATCTGCGTGAACATCTCCTGGCCACGGGCAGCTATGACGAGCACGTGCGTTTGTGGGATACGCGGTCCTTCAAGACGCCACTGGCAGAGGTGCGTCGTTTCGCACAACACAACCAACCCCTTTCCATCTCTCTCCGTGTTCTTATTTGTCTTGTCTGCTTGATGCTGTCACGCATACCACCCCCATTTTCCCTCCCGTCGTCCGTCACGCCTCTGGGGGCCCTTCCCTTCAGGTGCACACTGGCGGCGGGCTGTGGCGGCTCAAGTGGCACCCGTCCAACCCACGCCTCCTCCTCTGCGCAGGTGAGCACATCATCGTGGTCGTGGTGGCGGTGGTCGTGGCGGTGGTCGTCGTGGCGGTGGTCGTCGTGGTAGTTGACGTAACAATGGTCACAATCTCAAAGCAGTTGGAAGTGTGCTGTGGTTGCTGCTCCATTGTTCACACACAAATGCACAATGTTCACACCCGCACGCGTGCGCGGCCACTGCTGTGTGTGTGTGTGTGTGTGTGTGTGTGTGTGTGTGTGTGTGTGTGTGTGTGTGTGTGTGTCAGGGATGCATGCTGGGTTCCAGGTGCTGGCGGTGGACGACGAAGACGCGGGGCAGGCGGACATTGTGTGCAATTACGACACCAATGGCGAGCTTGCGTACGGTGCATCGTGGTTTGGTTGCCCGTCCATCGCGACGAAGCATGACCACGACAACGACGCCGCCAGTCACGACGATGATGGCAGTAATGGTGGTGGTGATGGTGATGATGCATTGGTGGATCTCGTTGGCACGTGTACATTCTACAACGCTGAGCTACAGCTGTGGAAAGCAGATGTGACTGCTAGTAAACACTCAGATTAGGTCAAACACTTTCGTGCATGCAAGGAGAGAAGGCCAATCAAGGGGAAGGACTGGGTTCGCGGGTTGGAGAACCGAAGTTCAACTACACCGCACACATACACATACACACACACACACACAAACACACACACACACACACACAACGCACCACACACACACACACACACACACACACAAACAGCGACAGCGACAACGACGATGCACCGTTCTTAGATGCGCTTCTGGTCGCGCGTCTCCTGGACAAACGCGTGCATGTCGAATTCGGGCGCTCCATCCGGTTTTTTGACCACACCCCTCTCCGTGACGATGCCCGTGATGAGGGAGGCCGGCGTGACATCAAACGCCGGGTTCCACGTGTTGATGCCTGGAGCAGCAAGCTGTAGTCGTGTAAAGTACGATGGGTGGTGATGTGTGATGGGGTGGGTGACGTGTGATGGGGTGGATGATGTGTGATGGGGTGGATGATGTGATGAACGTTGTGAAGGTGTGTAAAGGAAGAAACGAGCAAGGACGACCAGCACACACACGCACGCGCACACAAACACATGTACACATGCACACACACACATGTACACATGTACACACGTGCGCGCACATACGCAACCCACCCGCTTGCCGAAGATGTGTGTGAGTTCGTCGCCCTTGCGCTCCTCAATGACAATGTGTGAACCATCAGGAAGGTCGAGGTCCACAGAGGTGATGGGAGCGGCCACGTAGAAGGGAACACCGTGATGCTTAGCCGCAATGGCAATCTGGGGAAGGTGGAAGGAGGGTGAGGTGGTGGCGGGCATGAAAGGAAGGGATGGTGAGATGAGCACGGGGAGTGGGAGGAGAGGAAAGACGCAAGCTACAACACACACGCACAACACACGACACACACACACTCGCACACACATGCACATACACAATACACTTACATGCACATACACAAGCACACACACACACATGCACACGCACACGCATGCACACGCGCGCACACAACACACACAACACACACACGTGCCTGGTATGTTCCAATCTTGTTTGCAGTGTCACCGTTGGCCACCACGCGATCTGCTCCGACGACCACGGCGCTGATGTCCTTCTCCTTCATCAGCACAGACACCATCGAGTCCGCAACTGGTGGGGCGGCGGCGAAGGGAAATGGATGGCACGGGATAGTGGAGGTGAAGGTGGAGGAGGAGGTGGTGGTGGTGGTGGTGTGGTTGCGGCCGTGAAGAGATGTGAGAGGTGAAGTGTGGTAACGCCCAGCACATGCACACAGAATACATACAGACGCACGTGCACACCACTCGCATCGGGGGTGAAGACAAAGTACCTAGCCCTCCTCTTCCCCCCCCCCCCTTCCTCTTTCGCTTTTCACTTCCCTCTTCATTTCCCTGTGCTCTCTTGCCCACCCATCCTTCTTCCAACTGACCCAGTGTTGATGGGATCTTCTCTGTGACAAGCTCATAAGCGGTGAGCCGTGCCCCTTGGTTGTACGGGCGCGTCTCCGTGCAAAAGGCGTGGTCCAGGCTACCGAGCTCGTGCAGACAGCGGATGACGCCGAGCGCGGTGCCATATTGGGCGGTGGCGAGCGACCCCGTGTTGCAGTGCGTGAGGATGCGCACCTTGTCCTTGCCCGTCTTGGCCAAGATGGCCTCTGCGCCGTGCTTGCCGATGGCCCTGTTGTCGGCAATATCAGCGGCCATCATGCCCTCAATCTTCGCCAGCGTGCCGGCGACAACTTGCTGCGCTGTCGCCCCCTCCTGCGCTGCCAGCTTGGCGCTGAGGGCCTCCAGCTTGTTTGCCGCCTCGAAGAGGTTGACGGCTGTTGGCCGCGACGTGCGCAGGTGGTCGAGGCTCGTCTTGATGAAGGCGGCGGCGTCGCCCGCAGATGCAAACGTCCGCTTGTGCAGCTCCACGGCCAGGCTCAGCGCCGCCACAATGGCGATGGCGGGCGCGCCACGCACCTGAGCGACGAAAAGAAGCAGACGGCGGGTGTGCGAGGTGCAGCGTGATGTGGTGTAGTGGTGTGGTGGAGTGTGGTGAGTGTGGTGTAGTCGAGTGTAGGTGCGGTGTGGTGGAGTGGAATGTGTGGTGGCACTGGCGTCATAAGCAAGCACCGCGCGGACGCAGCGGCCGGGCACGAACCACAGCAGATGCAGGCTGCACAGCATGCGCACTTGGCACGGCTTGCAGTGTGAGCAACGCTTGCTTGAGGGGAACACGCTTACCCGCATCTCGCGAATGGCGTCCCAGCCATCCTGAACGGAGGAGATGGCGTCGTATTCGGTCACGAGGGGCAGCTTCAACTGTGGAAGCAGCAAACACGGAAGGAGAGGGATGTTGTGGGTGCAACGACAGGGAGTGGGTGGAGGTGAGGGGAGCGCAGAAGGAGGAGGGAGACAAACAAGCAACACACACACACACACACACACACACACACACACACACACACACACACACACACACACACACACACACACACACACACACACACACACACACACACACACGCACATAAACACACACGCACACGTACACACGCACACACACACACACACCAACCTGGTTGATGATGGACAACTGGCCATCCCTGTATCTAATCGCTTCAAGCTTGTTCTCAGCCATGTTGATGGATGGTGCAGTGGAAGGACTCGTCATGCGCTTGTCTCTGTCGTGTGTTTACTGGTTCCACGTGTTTCATCTTCTCTGTTCTCTTTCTCTTTCTCTCTCTTCTTCGAACGAACGTGCAAGCAAGCGAGAAGCAGGCAGGTGCAAGCAAAAAGGTTGATGGCGAGGGAGCAAGGGTTGGCGCAGGGTGATAGCAGCCGATGATGTTGTTGCTTGTTGTTGCTTGTTGTCCGTGTAATGGCACATACACGTGACGATGCTGTCTTTTCGACATGAGATCATCACCATCACCATCACCGTCACTAACACCGCTGTAATGATCATGGGTGGGCATCAGAGCGACTTCTTTGACTGGTCCAGGCTGACGCCACCGGGGCCCAGGGCAACAATCATCAGCAGCCCGCCAATCACAGACATCGTCTGGAAAAAGTCGTACCTGAAGAGTTGCCAGAAGAAGGGGGGGGGGGTTAGAAGTGGAGGCAGCAGAAGACACACACACACACACACACACACACACACACACACACACACACACACACACACACACACACACACACACACACACACACACACACACACACACACACACCAAAGGCACGAGCAAACGCACAGTTTGAAGTCAAACGCGGTGGAGGACGGGCGCTGCATCCAGAACGCGTTGAGAAGCACATTCTCAATCATGAGCATACACACAAGCACCGCTGCAGACACCTTCGTCTGGAAGCCAACAGCAACAGCCAGCACCAGCACTGCAGACGCGGCCACATGTGGAGAAAAGAACCATTGCGTTTGTGATGGTGAGGGCGTGTCAGCGTGCAAAATGAGCGGGAGCAGGCTGTTGCAAGCACACACGCACTTGAAGACAAGCGTGGCTTCCAACAATCACCCATACAAACACCATCCAAACACCCACCAAACACCATACAAACACCATACAAGTGCGCATCATGTGCGCGTGTGCGCGTGTGTGCGTGTGTGCGCGCACCAAGGCCAATGACTTCGATGAAGATGCGGAGACCGCTGTCAAACATGACGAGCGTCATGAACATGGCCACAATCAGCATCCGCCCAGCAAGCTGTCGACCATGGTGGTGGTGGTGGTGGTGGTGGTGGTGGTGGTGGTGAAGATGATGAACAAGTGAGGGAAGGGGTTACAACAACGTGAACAGGTGCGTTGCGTGTGCACACACAGGCTGATTCGCCGACAATGATCACGTTACCACCACCACCACCACCACCACCACAGCATACCTGGAGCCAGTTTGTTGACTTGTTGTCTGAGGTTGCGGCCATGAAGAGGGGCATGGAGAAGATGTTGCTCGCTTGCTGCATCTCATCTGCCAAGATGAACAGCAGCCCGCCGACAACCGCCGCATTCCTGGTGGTGGTGATCGTAATGATGGTGAGAAGAGATGCCAACACACAGCCACACCAGCAGCGCGCAGCGTAGGATGCGGTGCAGAACACAGCACGCACGCATGCGACTCCCACAACATACAAGTTCACAATGTACACACATGTCATACCTCATGAAAAATCGCAGATCAAAGACCATGTTGTACGCAATGGTCTGCAGGCCGTTCACACACACACACACACACACACACACACACACACACACACACACACACACACACACACACACACACACACACACACACACACACACACACACACGTAATGTCGACAACAACACGAGAGTTGTCAGTGCGCAACGACCCTGGATCTGAAAGAACATGACGCAAACACGAGAACAAACACGAGGGCAAACACGAGGAGCAGTCATCTGCAGTGCAGGCAGACTTACTTGAAGAACAACCACGCCCGCAAGGCATGCACAGGAGGCCTTGACGTGCTTGCGGAACAGAATCAACGCCGCCGGCAGTAACTACAAGCGCGGGGAAGAAGGCGTGTGCCGAGTCAGTGAATGGGTATGGTTTCAAGCTTGCTCACACAGGTGACCAACACAACACGCGCCACCACAGAAAACACACGCACCCACACACACGCACCCACACACACGCACCCACACACACGCACCCACACACACGCACCCACACACACGCACCCACACACACGCACCCACACACACGCACCCACACACGCGCGCGCGCGCGCTCACCTGTAAGAGCATGTTGAGGAAAACAAACATGTAGGCTGGAGTGTACCCCAATCCCCACTCGCGCTTGAAGTGCAGTGCTTGCTCCCTTCGTTGCAGGATCATGCGCACGCCATCCTCAAAGTAGGTAGACAGGATGCAAATGCGCGCCAGTGACAGCAGCTTTGGACTCCACTGTGTTAGTGCTCGTTCAAACCCGCCAAGATAAGGGTCCACCATGCGATGCAGTGCCTGTGCAGGCACGGGGCCGTTTCCGGCCGCGCCAAACTCCCCACCAAGCGACATGTGTGTTGTTGTGTGCTTTTCCAACAAGCGTTCGCTCTGCCACGATGCCAAGGAGTCACATGCAAACAACAACACACAACAAAGCAAGCCAGTGAGTGAGTGAGCAATGTGTGTGAGTCTATGTGTCTCTGTCTGTCCTGTCGGTCTGTCTGTCACACACACACACTCTCTCACTCTCACACACACTCACACACACACTCGCTCTCTCACTGCCTCAACTGGCTTGAACGCCTTCTCGTCGCTGTACACACACCACACACCACACACCACACACCACACACCACACACCACACACCACACACCACACACCAACGCAAATCCAATCCAACTCATCGCACTGATGTTGAGTTCTGCGAGTGAGTCAGTCACCATGTCACAGTCACATCACACACAACACATTCACGCAAGCAAGCAAAGCAACCGCACCACACCGGCACGACTCACCCTTTCTTCTTTCTTCTCTTCTTCTTCGTCTTCCTCCACTGCCGTTCTCTGGTCCACTGACGAGAAATGTGTATGAAAATATACGAGAAAAATCTCATTCGCCATCGCCAACGACGAAAACCGACAACGACACACACACGACCACCCTCCCCCATCTTGATCTTGTTGATCCTGTCTGTAGTGTTCTTGTTCTGCGGCCTGTGCTCGCTGTTGTGTTCACGTGACGAGGAAGGAACGACAAAGCCGACCGAAGAGAGAAGCACATTTGCTGTCAATTGAGAGCTGTAGAGCTGATACATACCACGCGCGCACGACCTTGTTGATCGAAACGCTTCAATCATGGTACGCAAGAGACAAGGGAAAGGGTGTGGTGGTTTTGGTGTGGTGGTTGCATGGATGGATGCCCCTTATCAACCACATATACATGGTGATGTGCACGCATGCTCGTGTGACTGTGTGTTGCGTCTTTTGTTGTTGTTGTTGTTGTTGTTGATTGTGGGGAGATGGGAGAACCACGACCTTGTTTCTATCCATCTCACCCAGATGTATGTGTGTGTGTGTGTGCATTGTTCTTGTCCTGCATCAACAGGGTGCCCAACAGTCCATCCCAAACCTCGCCGCTCTTGAGAGCGAAAGCAACTGTGAGTTGCACAATGCCATCCACGTTGCATGGGATGGGCCTGTGCCTGTGCGTGCGTTTGTATTTGTGTGTTTGTGTGTGTGTCTGTGTTTGTGTCTGTCTGCGTTTGTGTGTTCTTGTGCATGCACATGTGTCTTTGTTTGTGTGTGTGTGTGTGTGTGTGTGTGTGAAATTTACCCTTGGCTCTGGGTGCCCTGTTTGACTGTCCACTCACGATCGCCAACGACTCACCACAACAGTCACCGAGGAAGAGATCAAGCGCCTTGGCCGCCGCTTCCGCAAGCTCGACACGTATGTACCCCTACACCTCCCTCTCGCGCCACACTTGTTCGATCTTTCACGATGCACCGAATTACGTGGTCTCGTGCATTACCACTCACAACCAACCTTCCATCTTCTGTGCTTGCGTATCTTTAGCGATGGCTCCGGTACCCTCTCCGTGACAGAGTTCATGGCCATTCCCGAGCTTCAGCAGGTACTTTCTGTGTTTGTGTGTGTGTGTGTGTGTGTGTGTGTTTGTTTGTCTGTGTGTCTGTGTGTCTGTGTGTGTGCGCGCGCGTCTGTGCGCGCTTGTGTGTCTGTGTGTCTGCGTGTTTGCTTCTTCGTGTTTGTGTCCTCCACCAAATATATCCTGTTCAGAACACCCCTGAACCCATTCACACGTGCGCGTGCGTGTCCTCGGGTTAGAACCCGCTGGTGGAGCGCGTGCTGGCCATCTTCGATGACAACAACGACGGCGAAATCGACTTTGAAGGTGCGCGTGGTGGCAGCGGGTGTGCCGCACACACAATTACGTGTACAATATGATTACGTGATCGTGTACTCGTGTGGCTTCATACTTGACAGCATGCAACGTTTATCGCAAACACAGTGCAACTACCCTCTCCTCCGTACGCCCCCTCCCCAACAGCACACCCACTTATCTCCCTCGTGTCTTGCCGCTGGCGTGTTTGCGTTTGTATTGGACAGAGTTCATCAAGGGCATCTCGCTGTTCAGCGTGCAGGGCGACAGGGAGAAGAAGCTGCGATGTACGTGCAACCGCTGACTGTACGACTGTGTGTGTGTGTGTGTGTGTGTGTGTGTTTGTCTGTATGACTGTGTGTGTGTCTGTGTCTGTGTTTGTCTGTCTGTCTGTGTGTCTGTATGACTGTGTGTGTGTGTGTTTGTCTGTCTGTGTCTGTGTGTGTGTGTGTATTTGCGCTTCATCTGTCCGTCTGCGTCCATTTATCTGCCCGTTTGTCTCTGTGTCTATTTTTGTATGCAAGCGTGTCCCATTCCTTGATTCGGAACACCAATCCACCACCACCACCACCTCCTTCCTCATCTTCCCCGTCCTCCCCATCCTCCTCCTCGTGTTACCGCTGCGAGCAGTTGCGTTCCAGATTTATGATGTTGACTGCGACGGGTACATCTCCAACGGCGAGCTGTTCCAGGTCCTCAAGCTCATGGTCGGCAACAACCTCAAGGACTCCCAGCTGCAGCAGGTTTGGATCCACGCACGCACACGCTTTCCTTGGTCTTGGTTTTGCGATTGCTTGGTTGGTTGTCTGTTTGTTTGCTGTTTTATGTCTGTGTGTGTGTTTGCTGTTTCGTGTGTGTGTGTGTGTGTGTGTGTGTGTGTGTGTGTGTCTGTCTGTCTGCTGTTTTGTGTCTGTGTGTGTGTGTCTGTCTGTCTGCTGTTTTGTGTCTGTGTGTGTGTGTCTGCGCGTGTATCTGTGCGCGTCATTGTGTTTGCTTGCCTTCCTTGGCTGCTACGTTGACCTTTAGCAAACGATCCGTTCAACACACCCTCATACCATGCGTGCGTGCGTGGTGGCTGCTGCTGCTGCTGCTGCTGCAGATTGTTGACAAGACGATCATCTATGCGGACAAGGACGGCGACGGCCGCGTATCCTTTGAGGAATTCTGCGCAGTCAGTACACGGAGGGGTTGAGGAGGGTGTGTGTGTGTGTGTGTGTGTGTGTGTGTGTGTGTGTGTGTGTACATGTGTGTGCGTGTGAACACACGTGCACACATTCATATGCACAGACAGCGCACACACACGCGCGCGCGCGTATCAGATCAGGTCATTGTTCTCACGCCCTCTTTCGCTGTCTTGTGCTGCAGGTCGTTGGGCAGTCTGATGTGCGATTGGAGCTGCCAACCATCTAACCTCCCCAACACGTCATCATCACCATCATCATCATCATCGTCACCGTTGTACCACTGCCCGCCCTTTACTGCCGTTCGCTTGGTTTCTGTGCTTCTCCTCTTGTGTCCTCTCCAAATTGCACGTGCATGACTTTTGTTGTCTGTGTGTGTATGCAACTTTCCACTTGTTTTGGCCATATGTATGTGCACTGATGCCATGCGCTGTCATGCGGTTTGATGTTTTCATGTGACATGATGTGACACCATCCATGTTAATTCCTGTGTCCCGCCTTCAACGTCTGCTGTTGTCGGTGCATGTGCGTGTGTGTGCGTGTGTGTGTGTGTGTGTGTGTGTGTGTGTGTGTGTGTGTGGTTGGCACCTGCTTTCCTCCTTTTGTCTTGCGTATCTGTGCATGCGCTTCTATGTGCATGTGTGTGTGTGTGTGCTGTGTGCAATAGTTGTTGCCTGTGTTGGATCTGGTTGTGCAAGAAGAGTTATGTCCTCTGTTGTTTTCTGTGTTGGCTCGTGCGCGTGTGCATACGTGCGTGCTGGCTGGCTGGTTGTTTCTTGCGCTTGTCATACCGAATAGAAGACATTCCAAAGCGAATAGAATTGTATGACACGTGTGTGGTGGTGAGACAGATGCACGTGCGCATACACGAGGCTATTGATCCTGTCCTTGTTGCTGTCCTTGTTACTGTTGTTCCTGTTCTTGCTGCTGTTGCTGTTGCTGTTCTTGCTGCTGTTGCTGTTGTTGTTGTTGTTGTTGTTGTTGTTGTTGTTGTTGTTGTTGTTGTTGTTGTTGTTGTTGTTGTTGTTGTTGTTGTTGTTGTTGTTGTTGTTGTTGTTGTTGTTGTTGTTGTTGTTGTTGTTGTTGTTGTTGTTGTTGTTGTTGCTGTTTGAGTTTTGCTGAATAGTCTTCAAGCCAGTAGCTGACCTGCATCAGCCCGCCAAACAGCGAGCTGGGCAATAACAACAGCACGCGTTGTTGGAGTTGGGATGTGGGAGGAGAAGAAGGGGAGAGCGGGTAAGCAATTTTCCTCGTCATCCATAAAGCACACACACAC